ACAGCCAGAAAAGGGAGGTGTTGTCTCCGTTGCTGAAGAAAGAGATCACGGAAACGTTAGCTCAAAGAGGGATCGAATGCGTGGATGATTGGAAAGAGTATGTGAGAACGATGGAACAGGACGGCGAGATCATGGCAGAACTCTGCGGAATATTGAACACGGATGTGTTTCAGGTTAAACAGGAAGTGGCGGCCCTCCAGCAGCTAAGAGACAAGGAGAGTGCCATGGAGGTCCGAGGTAGGACTGACCCTTTGAATAGAGAAATTATTGGAACGCAGACCAGTCAATTGCAGAGGACGCGTTCGATTGGACAGATGTCTGCAGATCGCTCGAGGCGACATTCGCCGTATCGGACAACTACGCCACCGGTGGACGAAGGTGCGTCAGTATCAGATCAGTTGACAAAATACCTGAGGGCAATGGCCTGTACGGACCCTGGTGTGTATAGAGGGGCTAGGAATGAGAATTTTAACGAGTTCGTAAGAAGGTTCAAGCGAAAGTACGAAGGAGTGGTGAATTGTGAAGCGACTCTGCTAGACATATTGAGTGATGACCACTTAGGTGGAAGGGCAAAGAACATATACAAGGCTCTGCCAAGGCTAGTGAAGGACCAGGGATTCGAGAGGGTTATAAAGAAATGTCTAGACTGCTAGCACAAGAGTCCACGGCGGGTAGGCTGAGGGCTTTGACAGAGTTACGAGAGCTGAAAATCAGACCCAATCAGGACGTAGCGGATTTCTGCGTGGTACTAGAGAACCTGGGCCAGCAGGCATTCCCAGAGGGGAATGCTGAGGATCGATCGTTGGAATATGCTCAGATCCTCTTGAGCAACCTCGGTGATTGGCCCGAACACTTTCAGTTAGTTGGTGCTCTGCATAAGGTGCAACCCCATATGGCATATGATGAGGTCAAGCAATTAGCCTTAAGTATAGAACAGTCAAAAAGAATGCTGGGCGTGAGCCGCAAGGTAGTTTCGGCAGATTGGAAGAACAGATTTGCACAATATCGTGATATTAGTGAGGGGTTAGATACGACCCATAGGAGAGCTCGCGAGAGACAGGAGCCATATAGAGGAGAACTACGCAAAGGGGACAGCAGTGGGCAACAGTTCAGCGCACGGAGATCGCCCCCTCCTAACAAGGCATCCCTGAAGCCTAGTAGGCTCAGAAGTGTCATCTGTTGAAAAGAAAGGTGTCCTTTTTGGGTCACATTATAGATGCCGACGTAGTACATATGGATCCCGAGAAGGTCTCAGCAATCCGCGACTACCCTACTCCGAAAACCGTGAAAGAGCTTCGAACTTTTCTAGGGATGGCTTCTTTCTATAGAAAATTCTGTTTGGGGTTCTCTAAGCAAGCAGGATGTCTTTTCACTCTAAGTTCGCCGAAGTCATAGTGGACTTGGCAGGAGCACGAAGAGGCATTTTGTAGAATGAAGGAAATAATAACTACGGCTCCGGTGTTGAAGCAGCCAGACATTGAAGCAGCGCGAGATGGTAGTAGACCGTTCGTCATCTGCACAGACGCCTCGACATGTGGGCTAGGCGCGGTGTTGTCCCAGGAGGGAGAGGATAAGCAGATGCATCCCATCTTCTTCGCGTCTAAGAGCTTGAGCAAAGCGGAACGGAGGTACCACATAACGGACCTAGAGGCACTGGCTGTTGTTTTCGCGGTACGGCGGTTCCACGTCACGTCTTCATTTATGGACTACCAACGGTGGTAATGACCGACCATCAGCCGCTTGACAGCTCTGTTCAAGCGTAATAACGTGTCTGCACGTGTTTTGAGGTGGTCGTTAGAGCTACAAAGATATAAGTTGGAAATCCAGTATGTGAAAGGGAAGGCCAATGTAGTTGCGGATGCACTAAGCAGAGGTTTTCCAATGTCGATGTCATCGCAGTCCTTGGAAGGAGTAGGGGAGGCAGTAGGTAAATGCGATGAATGCCAGAGTTGAGTCTAAATGGTTATCCGAGCTTAGAGATGATAGCCATCTAGGAGAAGTTGTTCGGCTAGTGGAAAGGCAAAAGTGGGAGGAAGTTATAAGGCTCCCAGGAGAAAAGAGGACGCTAAGGATAGCGGACTTCGCGATTGAGGATGGTGAACTAAAGTTCTACTTAGACAGTGGTAAATCAGTATGGGTGGTTCCAAGGCCATATAGATACGACATATTCCAAGAGTCACATAGCGGAGTTCTGGCAGGGCACTTTAGTGCACATAAGATTACAAATAAGCTGAAAAAGGAAGTTTACTGGCCCGGCAATGGCTCAGGATATTGCTAGGTGGACCAAAGAGTGTCAGAAATGCTTTGTCCACAATCCGCGAGAGGCAATGATTCCCCCGCTGAAACCGATAGTACAGCGAGGCCTTATGAAATCATAGGCATTGACGTTTTGGAACTCGGACCGACTAAAAATGGGAACAGATACGCGGTTACAGTAATCGACCACTTCTCAAAGTACGCCGCGGCATACCCAGTGAGCAATAAGTCGCAGAAACCATCGCTAAGACGGTTTTCATCAGGTGGATTGCAGAAGGCTGTCGATGGCCGAAGACGATCCTCTCAGACCGAGGAGGGGAATTCGTTAATCACGTCATGGAAGAGATTACAAAGATCACGAAAATTACGCATGTGACCACGAAGGGGTATAACCCCAGAGAAAACGGGTTAACCGAAAGATTAAATGGGACCATAGTGGCTATGTTAAGGAGGAGTACAGGTCATACCTACAGAATGGGACTCGAGATTGCCATTTTGCATGATGGCTTGGCTTATAACATGACCCCTCACAGCGCGACCGGCGAAAGCCCATATTTTTTGCTGCACGGGGTAGACCCCGTATTTCCGTCAGAGATTACTCCGAACGGAGGCATAACCTGGTACTCTATGGACAGAACATTGGACGAGTACAGGGCGGAAATTCTGCAAGCAGTGGCAGAGACGCACGAAAGAGTGAGAGAATATAATGTTAGGATTCGGGAGCAGATGAAAAGACATTATGACCGAATTAACAAAGTGGAGAGCAAGACGTATCCAAAAGTAGGGGACCGGGTCTACGTATTGGTCCCACAGGAAAAGGCGCGAAACGCGCACCCAAAGTTAACGTGTGAGTGGGCAGGACCGTTTCGAGTAATTGAAATAAGTGGTAATTCAGCACTCGTTACTAGATAGGAGAAGATAGCGAACCGTTGAAAGTTCAATTTGATTCTCTGCGAATCGTCCCTAAGGAAATTCCAGACGATAGAGTGGATACTGTTCACAGTAGGGGTCGTAGGGGTAGAAAAAAGAAGGTGAATGTTGCAAAAATTCAGTGCAGTTGTTTCAGAGGAGCCGTGATCGCAAGCAGCGCCGACAGAGGACACCTTCAGTTCGAGTGCCAGGATCGCTGCTTGAGCAGGACGAGGCTAGGAGATATCAGTGGGATCCCATTTCCCGGTGCATTCGCACGGAAACCGATGAAGGACCTATGGTCTGCGTGGAAGATCGCCTCTATCTTCATTAGGACAGACATTTCCGTGGCGGAGAAGATACAGCTGTGTAAAGAGGGAGCCGTGAAGCTGGAGGCGCAGGCGTTGTGCGCAATTTTGAAGCTGGCATACGAGCAGTGCACAGAATGGACTGAGTTCATTTGTACGAATCAGGCGATTGCAAGGCACCCTCCGATCGAGGACTACAACGTGGAGAAGTTCTACGAAATCGCGTTCGAGAAAGCAAAGGAGGAGCTCAAGGAGGCAGACCGCGCAGCAAGGCCGCGCAAACAGGGGCCGGTCGGATTTGCCGCGCCGGAAACTGCGGCACTGATGGAGAAGGACGGCCCGCGAGGGGGTCTTATAACGAGGGTGGCGAGATCGTTCGTGACCATGAAGGAGGTTCTGGCGGATTGGTCCACGTACGGAACCTGGATCATTGTCTACCCGATAGAGCGCAGATGTGACTTCTCGACATTGGAGGAAATCGTCAAGCTCGCCAAGGTACATCTCGAAGGAGGAGGTCGCATTGCAACAGCATGGACGCCCGTGACATCGCGTCGGATGGCGGACTGGATGTCCATGGCGCAGCTCTGGAGTACTATGGATGCGATGCTGCGACAGTTTGCCGGTCCAGAGCAGATGGTGGCCACAGCCAGCAATTTGCTGAGTGAAGGGAAAGTATTCTTAGAAGCAGGGAGCCCGGAGTCCACTTCACAATTCTATAGGGCATACCCCGGAGTGGCAGCCGCCAAGCAGCTTTACGAAGCAGTTCGCAATAGGGTCCCCCACTTTAAGCTGCCACCGCTGGGAGACGATCGGTCGATGAGGACATCGACTGCAGGAAGGGGGGGCATGTTAGCAAGGGAGGAGGATGTGGGTCAAAACCGATCACGAATGCCGCTGAAGCGCAGGGCGGTGTAGGGAGTTGATCTCAGGGGATCAGAGGTCAGCTTTGCTATTGGTCAGTCCGACGCCTCGAGGCGGGATTGAGGCATATATAAGGGTGGTCCGATTACTAGTAAGATCATCATCAAGAGTTTTCGATCCGTCTTCATCTTCGCGTCTTCTTCTTAGGACTCCCTCTACTAGCGCCTAAGTGGCCCACCCGGATTGGGAGGGAAGTCAAAGGAGCGTGGCTCGTGTTACCGTATTGCCTTAGTGGCTCAGGAGCCTTAGCGGCTCGTGACCTAGTGACAGCCTAAGTGGCTGAAGCCTTTGTGGCGGGATTCGTGCCTTAGTGGCGACAGACCTGACGGGGAAGAAGGGCCGCGGGGTAACACAGAAGACCCCCAGCTCCCCGAGGATCATTCCAGGAACCATCCCTTTTCGGACCGGACGTTTGACGCGAGCCGTGCGCTTCAGTGGCATCTGACCTACACCTCGCATCCACCTCCTCGACTCAAGACTTCCTTATACGATCTTTTCTTGTTGTGTTTGCCGTTGTTGGTTATTGGTTGACAGTAAATTATTTCTTTCTCAAACGTGTGATACCGACACAGATTCGCAATTCGTCTAGTAGAACCTTGCTCGGCCTTACAGGTTCGGATGGATTTGAAGAGCCTCACTGGATGAAATTGAATTCCAAACTACTTAAAAGTTGTGTAAAATAGAGAAAGAGGTACAGTACTGCTCAAATACGAAAAAAAATGTCAAAATATGGAATACTTAAACGCGAATAAAATGTACCAAACTCCAAAATGCAACACACCTCCTAATTGAAAGAACATTGGGTGAAGGCACACGGATTGCTAATGGGAAATCAAAACTATAATAGCTACTCATTAAGGCGTCGTCGATTTGCCACCTGAAATTTGAATATTCGAGTAAATGGTTTTGAACTCAATGAGGAAGCGAAGAAAAACGGGAAGTGCGTTCCAAGAAAGAAAATCGAAGTATAGATGCCTGCTTCCTCCGAACTCACTCAATATGACTAGAAGTTTTGTCCTCTTCCCACTGCTGTTCGACCATCACTGGTTCAGGCCTAAAAGAGGTAAAAAAAATCATGAATGTTGTTGAAGTGCTCGTGAATTTTTGCAGATTTTTTTGTTCAGGTAATAACCAGAGGGATCAGGTTGGCGATTACACTGATGGCCCTTGCAAACGACAGGGTATGCGAAGGACATATCGGGGATCTTAGTTTGCACTGCGGGGGTCATTTTCGCTGGGAGGGGTGGTACATGATTGCGAGGCAGATTTCTCTAGGCCCTCCCTATGAATTTTCTCTCCGATTGTTGACTTTTGCCGCACTTCCTAGCCTCAAGTTTTTCTTAGTTTTCTAGTGCGAAAGTTTTCTGGAAGTCTTTGAAAAAATCAGGAAGACTGCGGTAGAAAGTCAAAAAGTTGGGAAAATCCAGGAAAGTAGTAGGTAGGTTCAGGAAGGTGAAGGTTGCAACAGTGGAGGAAGTTGGGGTACCAGAGGAGAAATTCCGAGAAGGGTAGTTTTACTGCTACCGCCGTCTCACACAAAATGACGCTGTGCTCTGAACGTGAGTTGGAGAGCAGCCAGTGCAGCCTTTCCCAATAAAAGGTCGTTGGCCCCGGATGAAAAGCTGTTTAGAAAAACTGATCTGGCTGGGCTCTAATCCATGCTTTCACATATTCTCTGGTTCGCGGAACAGTGACTGCTTTTAAAGGGAGTTGTTACGATGGCTAGATCAGTTACTGGCAAATGATTGATTGAAGGGCTGAATGCAGTGTGACCGAACGCCCTCCTGCAGCCCTTCCACCAATGATGGTGGCAGCGACCACCCGCCCCGAGCTAACCTGTCTCTTGCTATCAAGTTGAAAGAGATAATACAGTTTTGGTGAGGTCACGGAAGAATAAAAAAAGCAAAACTTCGGCATTGGTTTATCTCACTAGGAAGCGCCGCGCATCCTACTCATGTTCAGAGCGTGGCGAATAACTGCTAATACAACTTGAGGGGGCCGGCTGTGGGAGAAGATACTGTCTTCATTCTATGAGACTGTACAAATCACCCGATTACCGAAAGATTGAAGGATCTGGTACCAAACCACTAACACTCGGAAGCAAGGTCTACAGAGATTCAGAAGAACAATAATTCCTGCAGAGCCCCTGAAACTTTCGGCCAGGATACCGTGGAGATACCAGTCAAAAATTGTCAATTACTTACAATTGATTCTGCATTTGTTGAATGTACATCTGAAGAATCTCCTCGCCTTGTCCCATGGCCAAACGTCGTTCGATCATTCGCTTACGCTTCAGTAAATGCAGCAAATCGGTGCCTCGGAACTGAAACAATACTTTCTTGAAAATCTTGTGATTATTTCGATTGTGATTTTTAAATGGATCATTCAGATTCTGTTGCAGAATAGCATCATGGAGCCGTGCAACGACACTTCCCTCTTCATTACGGCGGCGGTGTCAAAGAACCCTCGATAAACCTCTAATTTCCCTCGTTACTCAAACTACGTGAAGTTTTTTTTCTGATGGGCATAAGAGATTCACTAAGCCCAAGATTCGGACTTGGGGCAGTTGGTGGGGTTCCCACATAAGCAAAATCGGAGAACATTTAACGTAATGGGGCAAAAGTCCCAACAACTCGCCGACATGTCCCAAAACCTAAAAACCAGTGGCACTACATCTTTCCGTTTTCCATCTAATCCCACCTGTTACAAGAAAATGTGCAGGAACCATTTGTCTGCCCTCGTGCCTAAGTTAAGTTGTACGGGTGGCACCGGGCGACAAAGTGACCCCCTAGTGGAGTCGCAACTGGTTTTCCAGATGCGGAGAAGCGTGAAAGCTCCCGATTTCGTAGCTTTTTTTTGATGACAGAACGAAAAGAAAAATATGAAACCGCATCTTGAGATAGAATCCCATTCGATGGCACCATTTCAGATCTGAATATTCACACTGCACCTAGGTCCGCTCCGGAAAATAAGACCCCCTCCCTTTTCTTATCCTAACAGCAAACCCCATTACCGTCGATACGTCCACTGGGTGGCGGAGTTTGACAATAAGAATGGAACATCCGACGCTCGACTCGCAAACGCCTTTCGTAAGCCGCTTCCTGCCACGCTACTATGACATATATCGCTTGCCCGTTGACACAAGCACTTCTCCACTACCTTGCCTGCGAGATTGAGGCTTTTGTGGGAAGCCTTTTGTAGGAATGTAAAGCGACAGTACACTCATCTCCAAGGACTGTACTTCCCGTGTGCGTGGTCAATGGGGACGGAGTAGTGGTACCTGGGTGTCGGTCCATACTCCGTTCTCGCTTCGGTCCATACTCCGTTCTCGCTATCTTCAAAGGTACGGTCCGCGATGGGGTATAGAAGTTGAAAATATGGCGTCGGGAGGGTAGTGTGGCCAACGACAAACAACCTTGTACCGGTTTCGCGGCAAAAAATTGTAAGGGAGGGGCGCTATAATGCAATATAGGTTCAGTGACGCCTCCTTTTTTCCAGTGACTCCGCCTCCAGGCTCCGCCCTCAAGGCCCACCTTTCAGTGAAAAACGAAGCTGCAGGACGAAAAAACATGAAAATCGTCACTTGTACGGTCGTAGAGATCTTATCGGGAATCAGCTGTGCGGATGAGGGATAGTGGTGAAGATGGAGTTAATTGGGCACGTACAAAGTGCAGTCGGAATGGGGTTCTGCTTACGGCAGTTGGCATTTTTTTTGTTTTTTTCACTATCGAGTTAGTCACAACCTTGTCGTCTTGTCTGCGAACTCCTAATCCACTATCTGTGGTGGCGAATGATCGCGGGTTTTGCCTTTAACGTGCAGCGCTTGGGTAGATACCAAGGTACCGCAACGAAACGCGCGCTCAGCGATGGGAAACAATAAGACGCGAAAGGGCGCCGACAAGTGGCACGTTCTGCTATTTAACATGGTTGGTCATGCGGCAAC